CACCCCCCCCCCCGCCGCCACAGGCCCCCCTCTCGAGACACTGCACCTGCGTCTTTAGAAACTTGACGTAATGAATTGCTTCATCCAGCATTGAAGCCGTGTCCATCTTTGTCCCGCCGGGCACAAGCCGCTGCAGGATTCTAATCTTTTCGGATATCCTCTCCCTCCTATGCCGCGCCGCCACGCTCTGCGGATCTTTGGATATCCGCACGTTCCGCCTTTTGGGCGGCTTGACGGACTCCGGGTCGATGTGAACCGGTTGCATCGCCGCGATGCGGAATATCATCTCCCTCATCGAGTCGATGGACACCGGGTCGTGCGTCGCCGGGAGATACTCTCCGGCGACGGCGGGCGGGGACTGGGAGGGAGATACCCTCCGGCGACGGCGGGCGGTGACTGGAAGCAGTTGAAGACCGGAGAAGTCGGCGTTGGAGGAGCGCTGTATTCCATCTGCGTAAACATTGCCATCCAGTCAACCTGGGAGTTGGAGTTGGAGAAGTTGGCATCCATTGATTCGGAGAGAAGGGGACTAGAGGATCAAAGGAATGGTTTTTTTTTGACAATGGAAGGGTAGCTTAGTAGCTGTGACTTTAAAGATTTAATCTTTTTATCTTTCTATGTTTCTATCTTCTGCTTTAACTTGCTCTGTTTCTCGCTTTCAGGCAGGATGGCAACGGCAGCTGGTAGGATATATATAATGCTCGACAGGCGTATTTAATGCTATAGAATTTCGATCGCTGGTTTTCTTAGTGTAATAATTGCAGCTATCTTGAAAGTTTCAATTCTCGGCTGTAGTGATTTGGTTTCTTCCTCTATGACGCGCACATTTTATATTCGTCTTCTCGATTAATCAGATTTTTAGGAGGATATAATTCGAAAGTTACTGAACCGCGTGCAATGCCTGAATTTACATTCAAAATAATTATCTTTAAATTCTTGATTTAATTAAAAATAAAAAATATATTGAATAAGACGAGAATGAGTGGCTTGATAATTAGAGATAAAATGAAAAGAAAAAAAATTTATGAAAGGGGTGGGGCCGCTCTAGTGACTGACAAGTTTAGAGAGAATCGTCTTAGATGGTTTGATCCATCAAGTATCTATGATCTGATTAGGAGAGTAGATGTTTTAGATTCGGTCTCTTGAGAAAGAATTGAACCTAAAAAAGACTGATATATTTTATAGAAATGTTCTTAATATATTAGAAGTAAATGAAAATATGACACAATGAAAGGAGAGGGAAAAAGGCTTTGATATTGTTGTTGTATGTATCAATTGGAAGGTGTTAGAATACTTCATCCCCATGTTCAATTGCAGAGAAAGATCTACCTGCAGCAATGGGTGGAGCTCTAGAGCACGTCAAATTTACATAAATTTATTTATTTTAAATAGATTGAAGGTGGCAGTTGAATATTCGGCTGAAGAACATTGACGCCGTTGATATGTTTGGCGGTTTGGAACGGGATGATGGTGAAGGGGTTGTTCAGCTTCACCGGCTGCTGTGTTTTTTGACTGCTAATGGACCAAGGAGTGTAAGTGAGCCAAGCAAACTCGTGAGCTCGCTTGAGCTCGGCTCTCTGGCTCGTAGAAGCTCAAGCAAGCTCATTTTAAAAAAAATTTAATATAAAATATATTCAAAATACATTAAATGTCAAGAATTTATCTTAAACGTATTAAAAGTATTTATAAAGTAATATTTTGTATTATATATTATATAATTTTGTTATTTATCTCCTAATTATTCATTTCTATTTGTCATCTTATTATAAAATTATCTTAAATTAATATCATTTTTTCTCTTTTATAATAATAAGTCAGCTCGTGAGCATGACAAAACTCGTAGACTCAAACTCGAGCTCGAACTCGATGAAATTAATCAGGCTCAAGCATAAATCAAGGGTGGCTCGAGCTCGACTTAACTCGTTTATAAATGGACCAATGGTTATCTAAAATTTTGACTGCGGGCGTTACCGTGCCGTTAGGCATTAAAAATATAATCACCATTATGGAAGGTGAAATGGTTGTAAATTGTAACGATGCTATTATTTGTGCGGATTAAGCGAGTCGAACGAGACTCAATAGCAAGACCAGTCATTACAAACGAAATGATAGGTTTGCCGTGAGTTATAGTATTATTTTGTTGAGTCGGCAAACAAATAAAGAAATAAAGATAAAAGTCTAAATGTATAGTAAATTATTTGTGATTTTATCATGTTTAGTTGTAGCTTGTGTTGTGGAAAGTGCAGCGGAATAAAACAAGAATCGACACAAACTAGAAGAAGACCACAGAGATTTAACGAGGTTCGGCAAAGAATTGCCTATTGCCGCAAAGAATTGCCTACGTCCTCAGGAGCGAACGGCGGTTTCATTATTTCAGAGAAGTTACAATACATCTCATAGGGTTACACATATAAATAAACATATACAAACCCTCAGATAAAATTACAATCACGCTCTCGCTCTCCTCGAAAGAGGCTCTGATACCAACTCTTCCGCCTAAATTTCATAACAGTTTGCACAACCGTGTGCTATATTCATAAATAGTTGGTTTTTAATGAGAAGCCTCGCTGCATTTATATGTTAGAAATTTAATGTTTTGCAGTTGGGATTTTATCAACTTTGTAATATTTCGGTATGTTTTTTGGAAAATAAAATTGATTCCAGATTTGAAGATGAAGTTTGAATAAATTGGTCATTAAAGGAAGGTGGGGAGGACTTTTTCACACACATTTAATTACTCTCGCATTTTTCATATATGTGAATTGTGCGATAGGAGAGGGGAAGTAGGAGAGAAATTTAGAGAGATTCAAATTGTCATAATTAAGAAGGAAGGAGAGTTCAGTGGCTAATAATACTAGGGGATACTAAATATTTTCAATCGAGTTTTACCTTTCTATTATCTTGTACTTATTTAGATTTATTGATTAAAAAAATGTTTTTGCTTTTAGTGGTGTGTAGTAAGTAAGTTCCTATTTATTCCTTAGATTGGTAATCTTGGAATTGAAGACCAGGGATATCAACATAATGAGATTTAGAGAATTTTATTTAAAAATGTTGCATGTTAACTTTGTAAGCTTCATTTATTTCCAAATTGACCACTTAGAATGTTAAAATATGTTGTGATTGAGGACGACAGAGAAGGCCAGTAGAACAATAAAGTAAACATACACTTTTCTAGGCGGATTAGAATGTTTCTGCTAGGATAGTGCAATCGATAAGGGAACACATAATCTTGAGGGTTTTACATGATTTAGGAGCTAAGTTATAAGATAAAATCTCAAGATTTCTTGTGACCATGGAAGGGACTAAGGAGTTAAATTGCTCCCGATTATCAATAACATTTGAATCACTTGGAAATCTCTAGATTACTTGGGTCCAATTCAAGGCGAGTTCTCTCACTTGATGGAAAACCCAACTCTAATTTCTTGGAATTTTAGTTATGCAAAATTAGGATTGAAAATTTTTAAAAATTCACAAACCTTCAACACTTCAAATTAGACCTAGGATTAGTAAACTAGAACTTTTATTTTTTTGAAAATTAACGAGTTCTCTATAAAATTGATACATATACTGAAAAATTTATATAACACTTGGTAAACACGTATACTTTTGTCGTTGACACGTACTTCACAAAATCATGGAATCAGTTGTTGGTGGTCGGTGGTTGGCTACGACAGGTGGTAATGATTGATTGTGGTCAACGATTACAGAGACCGAAAGTTGTTGTCGGACATTAAATACATCGTTATACATTAAAACCATATTTGTGATACGACATTTAAAAACAAGGGTCACCGATAGCGGTGAGTAGGGGGTCAGCAATGGTTGACAGATTGTGGTCGATGTTGATGGGCGGCTTTAGAGGGCAGAAGTTATCATCATGTCTTCAAATACGACGTTATACCTTATGAATGTATTTGAGATACGACATTAGCAAGTAGAGGTCGTTGATGGCCAAAAGTAGTTGCGAGAGACGGTGATCAACTACGACCGACAAGCAGTAGCTTATGATGATCGGTGGCTATAGAGACCGAAATTTATCGTCGAGTCTCCAATGTAATATTATACACTAATGCTAGAGGCCAGAATTTATCTTTGGAATACCGCTGCATGGCCACCGCCATCTGACCGTCGAAGCTGCCAGACCACTAATGTCAGACCATCAGCCTAAAGCCGCCACACCTGTAGGACTATCGTTGCCCGATCATCGTTGTTCAACGTCGCCATCGCCGGACCACTATCGCCACAACCAAAATTCCACAAATCTAATCCCCATCCTTGTCGTACCACTACTGCTCGACCTCCACCGCTATTGATGCGGGCCACTGTAGTTGTGTCGAACTACCACTTTTGTCACCATTAGACCTATGTTGCTCGATTATCACAATTGCCACTGTTATCGCCGACGCTGACATCAAAATTTATAGCACCCAAACCTACTATCAACTTCTCTTGGCAAAACCGGACCATCTCCACTTCCTCATATTTTCTGTCACTTCCCCAACGAAAGTCACAATCAATTTATTTAATATTGCCTCCATCTATTCATGGGATGGTAAATTTTTATAACATATATCAATGTAGTGGAATCATTTCAATTGGGCTATACATCATGGTTTTTTCCTTCAGGTTTTTCATGTAAAAACAACTATTGTCTTCTCTATCGATTTATTTTTCCATGTGTGTGTGTTCAATCATTGTACACGCCAAGTCATTAATATATCACACTACCACCGCAAATTTACGAGCACACAACAATATTATGAGTTTAGTTGAAAAAATTTTATTTAGATAGTAAAACATATAAATATAGAGCATTTAACAAGTTACTTATTTACATTATTTTTTTTTATTTTAATGATCTATAGCTTCCAGCTAATTATGTCATTCTTATTGTTATCTATCTTGGCTTTATCCATATTTGATTATATCCAACATAACCTAGCCCTCACTATGCCATTTCTACAAGCTTTCACTTTGTTCAGTACCACTCTAATGATAATATATCTATTCCTATCAATTTTTAATTAACTAAATCTTCCTTAGGTTGGTGTCAGTTAGCCAATTCTATTGAGATTCATCCATATTTAACATTTCCTTGGTTGTGCTCATGATTAGTTTTGTTGTTGTTATCTTGTAGTCTCACAAACATTGATAGCTTACTTTACATGAATCAAACTCTTTCCACTTTCTAAATAATTACTTTTTTTGCCACTTAAAGTTGTCATATACGATTTTTGGGATTGTTGAGCGTCTGTTGGTGGTTCTTTTGCCAATAACTTTCATTTTTGTTTTTTTCCCCTGCAGGTTTGGCTAGTGGTGCAATTTTACCTACTATATTTGGCTCAAATCAATAACTCTTTTGTATCTTTTCATAAATGTAAAACCACTATTCTCTTACCTAATGTTGTGCTTTATATATAATCATCCTTATAAAATATCATTGTTTGGAAATTTTAGGAATGGTTGGCTTCATTTTCAATCAATCCATCTTTCTTTTATGCAATGCAACCCTGGGATAATTGTTTTGTTTTTGCTCAACCCAATTCATGTCTTCTTGTTTTCATATTTTTTAAATAAAAACTATAGTGCTATTTATGGCACTTTGAATTTCTATTAAATTTCCACATATTCATATAAAGATTGTATTTAGGCATTTTTAAGTATCTATATTCTATACTACCATTCTTTTCTCTTCAGGTTCTTTATTTAGCAAACCTCCTTAGGTAGA